TGCTTTGAAACCTGTGGGAAGGACCTCTGATGAGATTCGAATGATCTGTATACCCACCAGGGAGATATCTAAATGAGGAGAAACAACAGTGGGTGGACCAAGTCTTAGAGTTCCCTTCAAAGGCATCATAAGTGGGTATACAGCTTTGGAAGATATGGAAATGGGAGAGAAGAGACAATAATGTCCAGGTGCTGTTTGCTATAGGAGCAACATTTTACAGTTTTACTATGCAGGATTAAAATGAGAAAGTAAAAACACTGCACTTGGTACCCAGAAGCCTGAGTCAACTTGAACTTGGAAGCTTGTCATTGGTAAACTACCCAAAGTTCAGAAAATGGAGAGGAACACTGCATTATGCCCTAGAGCAGTGGTTCTCAACCTTACTAATGCTGAGACCCTTTAATGCAGATCCACATGTTGTGGTGACCTCCAACCATAAAATTATTTTTGTTGCTACTTAATAACTGTGATTTTGCTACTGTTATGAATAGTAATGTAAATAATTTTGGAGATTGAGTCTTGCCAGAGGGGTTATGACCCACAGGTTGAGAACTGCTGCTCTAGTAGTGCTAATAATGGCCTTTTAAGGCTTCTCTCTTTGGGATGTTCTGTAATGTGTTTTAAATTTGGGAAAATGGATTTTAAAAGTAGTTGACTACTTTGTAAACAAATGCAAACATTGGAAATAAAACTTTTTTTTTTTTTTTACATTTTCAGCCCAAGCACATACATGTTATAGTCCTACTTTACACACAACAAAAATAAGGTTTGGAGACATAAATTTCCAATTATTGTTTATTCAGTAGAAAAATGAATGAATTCTACCTCTTTGGTGGATTTTGTGCTTGTTTGAACTCTCATGCTAGAAGGCCTCTGCTTTCCACCAGTGCCCAGTGGCTGAAGAGATTTAATGGAAAAACTTGTATAGGTCAATGATTATGCAAGATATTAAAGAGATTTTTCTTGGGATGGAGAGCCTATGGGACATTTAACAAAAGGCACAGAACAGCAAATGTTGGCTTCAGATACTTACCAGAGAGGATCCAGGCTGTCTTTCCTGATCCTTGAGAGCCTATCAATAGAAACAGCATACAAAATAATAAAAAAGAAACTTTTGTCTGTTGACATTGCATGACTGCAAAATTTGAAAACAAAATATAAAGAAACAAAAAGCTATTCTCAGTGTTATAAGCCATAAATAATGACTATTTTACATCATTCCACACCCCCTCATTGCTTTATATATATATGAGTTTCTTCGTGTTTGGGGGGATTTGAGACTATGAATCTGTAGGATATTTTAGCACACTGCTTTTGTCTCATTCTCCTCCTCTCATCCAGGGACACCAATTTACATACATATTTATTCATTTTTCTATACATATTTATTTTCATATACATTTTCACCTTTTTGGCCATTTAGGCTAAGTTATAATTCTTTTCTTGTAAGTGTTCTTTCAGCTTATTAGTACTCTTCAGTCTCATTAGATTTCCTATTAAATTATCCACTGAATTTTTTATTTTATCATTGTACTTTTCCATTTTAGATTTTTCCTGTGGTTATATTTCAAGGCTTACAGTTTCCTGCTAAAATTATCAGTCTTGTCTTTGGTTTCCTTGAGCATATTCAGCATAGTTACTTTTTAAAGTGGTATCACAAAACTACGTTCTCTAGATCTTTAATGAAGCTCCTTCTGTTTCTCTTGATATTCAGTAATGTGGTCTTGTCTTCCATCTTGGTCAGTTGTGACTACTACAACAGAATGGCAGAGATCGAGTGATTTAACATTTATTTCTCATAGTTACAGAGGCTAGGGCGTTCAACATCAAGACACTGGAAGATGACTTGCCTAGAAAAGACCTGCTTCCCACTTCCTAGGTGTTGGAATCTTGCTGAGTCCTCAAATGAAGGAAGGCAGGAGAGAGAACTCTCTGGATTCCATTTTATAAAGGCAGTAATATCATTCACGAGGGCTCTATCTTCATGATTTAAGTACTTCCCAAACATTCTATCTTTGAATGCCAGTTAGGATTTCAACACAAGGCTTTTGAGGGAGCCATTGAGTATTCCATTGGCTCCTCACTTAGAAGTATGCTTGGATTTGTCCTGGGGACATATATGTGCAATAACTTCAAACCACTACATGTTCTCAGAATTCTCTGTCCTAAGTTCTCACCAAATTTCAGCTGCTCTGTTGATTTAACTGTGGCTTTTCTTAGCTCAGGAGTAAGATGTGCTATATGAAAAGTTTACATATGACCTGATTTGACAAATGTCATGTTGTAAAGTATACACATTGAAGAATTGTGAAAATAGACTCATATCCTCACAGCTTGGGTAGAGATGGTGATGTATTCCAGATTAGCTTCTCTTCCATTCTTATTTTAAAGCCTTCCCAGTGAGAGAAATGAATGACTTCAATATTCTAAATCTATTTTCTCCAAAGGTTCAAGAACTCTGCAGTGTTCAAACCCACAGTAAATGTAGCAGATTTATGATCCCTGAGGGTCTAGCCCATGCTAAATCATAGTGTGGTAGTCTATCATACTATGAAAGTGCCTCCTTCCAAGGAAAGAAAAACTCAGCTCTCAGGTTTTCCTGTCTGAACCATCAGCAGAAAGGATTTCTTCCCTCTGCTGAAGCTGATGTGGCTACAGTTTATTCCTCAGTTCTCACTTTCAGGACTGCTTTGAATACCACCATGAGCCATGAGCAAAGCTCAAAATTCATGAAGAACAACACTTGTATTACACAATCTTCAGCTCCTAGACTAATTGGCCACAGATTTAAGAAAAAGCCATAGCTAGGCAGTCTAGTTGAGGGTAACGGCCAAGTGAGTAACTCTGCCCCATGTAGACAAAATGCTACTTATCAACTCCAAACTCTGGTTGATTGTTACTATATGGGAGCATAGATCCAGACATTCAGTCTTGAATTCAGTCTTGAATCATGTTAAAGGCCAGTAATTTGACTTAAAATCTCCCAGTTACTATGTTATGACTAGTTCCACAGTTATAAACATGCAGGTGGGATACACTGTGCTTTTTATTGTAGTCTCTAGGTTCCAGCAGTGGCCTTCCTGCTGTGTGTTCAGAACTGAATACATCTGTACTAGATGAAGGCTACAGCATTGGCTGCTTCCTCCGCCTGTTTCTCCCACGCCAGATTCATTCCTGAAAACATAGCACCGAGGTTTTCTGAGTCCACTCGAGGTGGAGTGCTTTGTTATGCCATCTCAGTATTTTTGAACAGCATGCTCAGTGAGGTCCTTTTTCTTACACTTAAAATAGGAGCTTAGGATTCACTCACAGGAGGAGCTGCTTATATTACATAACCCCAAGGCACACAGATTATGATTGATCTATTGCCATATGGCCTGGACCGTCTCCAAGTAGAGTCAAGCCACTCATCTGGCTGGTTCTAGCAATCTTCCCAAGTGGCACATAGGGACAATTTTTTTTTATTTTTGAATATTTTAAAGGTATTATCTAAGTGGAAATTCTCTTCTTGCCTGGAAGCAAGTAAAGAAATTGCTGGGAAGGTGATTGGGGCAGTTATAGAAAGAAAGGCATGTAGAATGTACAATTGCATTACTTGGGGACTGTTCCAGAGGAATGAGTCTATGCCTTGGAAGAAATGACTGCAAGAAATCAGGGATAGGCACCGGAGAAATAGCTCACTTTTTGCTCTTGCAGAGAACCCAGGTTCTGTTCCCAGCACCCACATGGTGGGTTACAACCATCCAGTTCAAAGAATCTGATCCCTTCTTCTGGCCTCTGCAGGCACCAGGTATATAAGTGGTACACACATATATATGCAAGCAAACACTCATACACATAAAATAAAGTAAATACTAAACAAAAAGAAATAAGGGAAGTTGGGAGAGCTTGGTCCCAAATTCAATAATTAAAGGTTGGATTCTTCAGGAGACTTGCTGTTTTTCCCTAGGCCGGTCAGAATCATTACTGTGTCATAATCTGTTTCAGACAATAATGCTGCTTATCCAACAGCGTATTTCCAGGCCGTGGCTGAAATGCTCAGAATAGCTGCTGATGCCATTTGACTTTAAGTCTCTGTCAGACAGGAATGAAAGAATAGAAATTTCTTCATAATGAATCTTAGCTGCGCAGATGGAGGTTCTATTTGGAGATCAGGGAAGTCTGCTAGATCTACAATTATATTACATAGTGCCATTTTGCTTTACTTTATTTTGTGCATATGGGTGTTTTGCCTGCATCTGTGTCTGTGAACCACTTACACACATGATGTCTGAAGGCCAGAAGACAGAGTTAGATTCTCCTGGAACTGGGGTTATAGGCAGTTGTGAGCTACTGTGGATGCTGGGAATTGAACCCCCGTCTTCTGGAAGAGCAGCTGGTGCTCTCAATTGCTGAGCCATCTCTCCAGCACTCCCCCAACACCCTGTTTTCTTTGTTTGTTTGTTTTTGACTAAAAGTTTCAGCATACTGTTTTCTTCCGGGAGATGAAAACTAAAGTCTAAATCCATTTTAGATATGCACTCTTGTTTCAAGTCAATTCTACTTTCGGAGTACACAACCTCAAAGTAGGAAACCGGTAGAGTCTGGTTTAATTGCTTGAGTGTTAGGAAATGAAACATATAAGACAGTATCACCCAAAAGTAAAACCATGAAATATTAATTGAAAAATCTAGGTGAAATAGTGACATTGTCCAGGCTTCCCCAGCTTCCGCAGTTTGAGAAAGAAATGAACAATATCATCTAAGGCCCAGATTTGGTGCCCAACTGATTTATATTTAGAACGAATGATTTCTTGATTTAAGAATAAGTCATAAAACAAGCCGAAGACACGTTTAACACATGCTTCTCTACGATGAAGTTCCTCTCGGAGTTTCTTCTAAGCACTGCTCTTAGCAGGCACTCATCACTATATTTTTAATTCAACGAAATGTGAGAAGAGTCTATTCTAAAATCGGATGACTCAGACTTTTAACAGTTTTTTTTCCTTCTTCCACTTCTAGTCCTTGAAGAAAGAAACTGCTCAGACCTTGGGGGCCCAGTCAATGGGTACAAGAAAATCACAGGAGGTCCTGGGCTTCTCAATGGGCGCCATGTCAAAATTGGCACGATTGTGTCATTCTTCTGTAATGGCTCATACGTTCTCAGTGGCAACGAGAAAAGAACCTGCCAGCAGGATGGAGAGTGGTCAGGGAAGCAGCCCGTCTGCATAAAAGGTAACTCAGGGATGTTTCTGGGTCCTGTACATGTGCATAGAGTCGTTGTAATTCTTTGACAGTTCCCATGTCTGCCTTTAAGTCCCTGGAATAATGTTTCCTTGTAGACTCACCCTCAAACTGTTTGTGACTCTTGTCTTGGAGAGTATCTTGTAAAACTTTCACTTCTTTTTTTCTGGACTCCAAGAAGACCTGACTCTTGTCTTCTCTAAGGTGATGGAGAAGAGCAGTTTGGGAAACATGACAAGGCTAGTCTTAGATATGTAAATCCAAGGATAGAATTTGTAAGCCTTTGCCTAGCTGCTTTTATCACATTTCTAATAAAAGAGTCAATAAGCGCGTGTTCCTGGCCCCCTCTAAGGGGAGACTTCAGATGTGGATGGCTAAAAACTAAGATAGCAGACCTTGAAACATCTAATGGACAAGATGTTAGAAGAACAAATGAGTAGTTCAGGAAAAAAAAAAAAAGGGAGAGAGTGAGATCAGTATTCCTGAAATGGAGTAGATGGTGTGAGGTAGGTAGGATCTGTAGCCGTCAGGAGAGATTTAAGGATGCTAGGAGGAGCTGGGATGGTATACCGGATGAAAGACAGGAGAAGAAGTGGGTGTAGATGGAAATGCAAGCATCTGTCTTATGGTAAGCTCAAAGAAAGCTGGTCTAGAAAGGAGCATTTAAAATATAGATTGGGAACAGAAAACCCTGGACTGTTGTATAGGGAGGCTGGAGCCCCCCACCCCACCCCCCAAATCCCAGCGGAGATGCAGTTTCTTCCTGACTTTACCCATTAGTTGGTAAATTTGGCTGACACCTCCTTAACTGGGAAGAAAAGTGTGTTCATGTCCTAGATTGTCAAGATCATTGCCCCCACTCTCCACTCTCTCTGCTGGGTGTTTGTCAACACCCCGAATCATGGGGAAAGGAATAAAAGAGAAAAAAAGGGATAAATGTGAAAGGGATAAATCACTTTAGACTTTCGCCAGAAGCGACTTTCATCCTCCAAGCACAGGGCCTGATGTTTTATTTCATTAAGTATGGGAACGGTGTTGCATATGTCCTTGGAGGTTTTGTCAACTTTTCTCTTACAAATTAATACAACCAAAGTACTCTAAGTTGCTAATTAGACAAATGTTGGCTGCTGGATTGGGAAAGTGAGATGGGAAGGATTCGTTTTCCCTGGAAGAAAAAAAGAATGAAAGATTTCAGTGAATTGAAACTGGGCTCTGAGTTGTCCTCTGGTGACTGCTAAGGACCTTCATTGCAGAGACAGGACAAGAAATGGTTGGTTCCTCGGGACTTATTTATTGGCACTGTGGTCTGGTTTTAAACAAGGACTTCTGAATTTCCTCTGTGGGCCTTCACTGTGAGTTTTATCCCATTATGATCTAGTTTGCTAACACCATTCCCAGGAACAGATGGCTCTAATCTATGAAGTGCCACTGTCCCAAGACACCTCGGCAGAACAGTTCTTTTTCAGAGGGAGCTACTGGATTCTCCAGAGGCAGCTTCCAGGTTATGTCAAAAGCAGTTGACATCTTTGCTAAGCACACACACTGTTGAAGTTTCCTAATACATCCAGGCTCTGAGACCGGGGAATGAGTGCAAGTGTCTGGAAGGGTGGGAATCTGGATGACGTGGTGTGCACAGTGAAGATGGGAAAGAATCACACAGCATGGTCTATCTGTTTTTAGCCTGCCGGGAACCGAAGATCTCAGACCTGGTGAGAAGGAGGGTCCTTCCGATGCAGGTTCAGTCAAGGTGAGACCAAGCCCCTGAACTCCACTTTCAAGGCTAATGACTATCTCCCTTCTCCAGTTGTATTTGGCCAAAGGCAGCCTGGCATTTCTTAGGGACATTTAGTGCTAACGGGTCATGAAAGAATGGGGCTTGTTAGATGGAGGCTCATTAGCCAGCTGCTTTTGGCCAAGAAGGAGCTCCTACTGGAAGAGGTACAAGTTTTACTGGATCGTGGGAAAGCAGATGGCTGATGAGAAGAAGCGAGGCTTCCCTGATGATCTTTGAGGAGCTGAATTTTAGTATTTTAGTCTTCCTGAAATGACTGCTTCTTTATTACGGCAGCTTCTAGGAGTTGGCAATCCTGCTAAACACTGCAGCCAGCTAGGGGTTGGGAAGATGGTCTTGATGATGACCAACCAGCTGAGGCAAACTGATGGATGTGGGACATGAACTCTTGTGTGTATACCCAAAGCTTCTCTTGGGAAGACAAATGAGACCCACCTTGTGGCGAGAAAGACCATTCTTCCTCTCTTCCTTCTTCCTCTTCCTCACTCTCTCTGCTGCAGTTGCACAGACATTTTTGGTTTTCTTCTACCAGTCCAAGCATAATTCTATGTCAGAAACTTAGCTTAGCCCCCTCCACCCTTTTAATACTTGGCTTGTTTTCACCTAGCAGAGAGACCATCTCTAACTGTTCTTTTACGATTATTTAAAAAAACATTTTATGATATTGAGGAATGCATCCAGAGCTTCATACATGCTAGATAAACACTTTACGATTATACCCCAAGCTCGCAGCTGTCATTTCAAACAAAACCAGCAACCACATATGTATCCTGATACCACATCAGGCAGTTTCCATTACCTGGTCTTCTCTGACCTTCCCCATGATTCTGATTTCATTTGGCATTCCTGTCTCTCTCCCCCACCTCTCTCTCTCCCTCTCCTCCTTCTCTCCCTCCCCTCTCTCTCCTTTCCCCTTTCCCCTTCAAATATACAACTTACACGTAAAGGAATATTGCTTGCTTTGTTTATGCTGAAGTTTTCTTGCTTGATACTGCCTCTGCCACACAGAAGCATTCAATAAGTAGTTCTTGAATGAGTAAATGTGATTGACAGTCAAGGGTTCAAAAATCTGCTTCTGCCTCTCTTCAATCCTAGTTATGTTTAAGCAACTTCCTGAAGTTATTGGGCCTTCATTTTCTCTTTTGAAAACCAGAGGTGATTAGTAATGGTCCCAGAGGATTGCTATAAGGATTAAAACCACACTGATAGATGACACAGACAGCACCCTTGCTGTGTGCCACCTGTTGTTCTTGTCACGTGACAGATGTTAGTTTATTTAGTTCTAACCTCTGAAGCTGGGCATTTTTATTATTACTTGCATCTTATTAATATTTCCTTGCATATGTGGAAACTGGGGTTCAGAGAAGTTAAGTAACTTCCTCAAAGGCCCAGACAAGATGCCTCTTTATAGCAGAACTGCTTGGATAACCCTTCAGTGAAGATCACCATTTACATCTCACCCCTGCTCAGCCTCTCCTCCATATTTGTCTTCCTCCTGGCAAGGTGTTCTCTTGGGAACAATGGCCATAGAATGCAGACTGCCTCATTTCTGGTCTTACCCTGGGTTCCCTGGGGTGGGCTCTCTGCTAAGTGCCATCCACCAGCTTCCAAGAAGACACCCTGCTTAGGCGATGATGCCTGTACAGGGGTCCTGAGCTACACAGAGAGACAGCAGGGCTTCCTACTGTTACAGAAATTGTCATGGAAGATTAGGAGAAGGTGCTAGGTGACTTCTGCAATTGAGAAAGCAAGCCTAGCATTTAGTGAACTGGGGGTATTCTTAGGTTCCACAGCCTCCTGAAACAAGCAGTAGCTTCAGTGACCAAAAGGTAAGCACGTTTAGAAGCCCCCACACCTGGCTGTAAACATAGAATGGATATTTACTGAATGAAGTCAATGTAGACTGAATATTCCTGAGCCAAACACCATAGAGGTACAAGATGTAGATTTCATTTTCAACATCGTCAGATTGATATGGCAGAGACTCTAGAGTGGATGTGGTGACTGCTAAACACCACCTTGGGTGTCATCTTCTTTTACTGCGTCCCCAAGGCACCCCTCCCCCCAGGTAGCTCCCTGGGCTTCGTTTCCCCATTCATTGTTACATAGGGATGAGGACATCAGTTCCTGAAGGACTCTCAGTTTGCTGACAGCCATTATGCGCCAATGTAAAACAAGCACAATCTGCAGGAAACTGTGGTGCATCTCTCCCTAAAGAGTGTCTCTAGGGGCCTCGACTTCAGGGCTCATTTAATGCCCCTTCTCACACTTACATGCAAGTTTTTTTTATTTCTCCCAAGCAGTGTTTCCTGAGAGAAAGTTCAAGTCTCTGAGGTGAACTAATTACATTAGTTGCCAAATCAAGCTACTGTATCAACACAGTTTAGTTCAAGTCAGGTTCTCATATTGCCCCATTATGATAATGTTTAGAGAAAAGAATGTGCCTGGCTTTCTCTCATTCAAATTAACTTCTTTTCCTATTTAATTTTGCAATTAAATGTTCTCTCTCTCTCTCCCTCTCTTTCTCTCTCTCTCCCTCTCTCTCTCTCTCTCTCTCTCACACACACACACACACACACACACAACATGTACCTCTGCATAGCGATATTATATCAGACTTTATTCTGTTTGATTAAAACCCTACGTACTTGGAAGCATGCCAAGAACAAAGGAATACAATATTGAGTGGCATAAGAGAATGTATTCAGTAGCAAAGGGAGAGAGAGTAAGGAGGGAGGGAAGAAGGCTGAGAGGGAGGGAGAGAAAGAGAGGAAGAAGAAATAAGAGGGGAGAGAAAGAGGAAGTGGGTAAACAAAGATAGGGAGTAAAGGACGAAGACAGAAAATGGGAAATGGGAGGAGTATTATTCTCCTGTAACCAATAGCAGCATGGGAATTGGATGCTAACGTCTTGCTCTTCTTCTCTGGTCCTGTGTGCCTTGATCCAGGGAGACACCATTACACCAGCTTTATTCCACAGCCTTCAGCAAGCAGAAACTGCAGGATGCCTCTACCAAGAAGCAAGTCCTTCCATTTGGAGACCTCCCTCCTGGGTACCAACATTTGCACACCCAGCTGCAGTATGAGTGCATCTCACCCTTCTACCGCCGCCTGGGAAGCAGCAGGAGAACATGCCTGAGGACTGGGAAGTGGAGTGGACGGGCCCCATCCTGTATCCCAAGTGAGTCAAGTCCCATCTTTGAGTTTGAGCCTCTTTCCCTTTCCAACACCATTTGTGAAGAATTGCTGACCGTTGAAGTCTTTTATGGAAAGTTTAATGGAGCAAGGGATAGTCTTCCATGGCTTCCCCTAGTTTGGTGACCTGTGGAATTCCACAATGAGAGCTCCCTCCTTTTGGCTTAAACTTATGGTCAAGAGAAATTGACTCATTAGCTCTGAGAGGAATATTTTTCTTGTAGAGGATTTATCACATCTAGAAAAAGGAAAGAGCCACAATTAAATACCAACTGAGGAGAGAGTTAAAACTGTGAGAGCATCTCTGCTTATGTCACCTTGACTGCCTTGCTAAGGCTCACTTTTCACACTCATTATCAAATGACTGTAAGTAATTGCCATTAATTAAATGATGAGGTGATAGGAGATAATGTAAGATAAAATGTGGAAGTTCTAGATTCGAGGCTTGCACATTCTCGCCTACCACCTTCATCCTCTTTGTGAAAAGAGAATAGTATGGCTGAGTTTGTTGTGGTCATGCTTATGAAGACAGTCAAGGGATTTTGTCTGTTACATCATCCCATTCAGTCTTCTCAAAAAGCCCCTAAAGTCGTAGATATTTCTCAGTATATTTTCTAGGCAAAGAAACCAAGGATCTAAGGGGCCAACAATTTGTCCAAAGTCCTATTGTTTCAGTACTACAAAACCTCCACTTTTAACTCTAGACTTTATAGCCAACTACATGTAGATAGTTGATTAATAACAAGGGGAGGGAGGCTAGGGAGATAGCTTGGTAGGTAAGTAATTGCTGTGCAAGCATTAGGGACATGAGTTTGGCTGGGCACAGTGGCATGTACCTGTGATCACAGTTCTGAGTGGCAGAGACAGAAAGATCCCTGGGGTTTCCTGGCTAGCCAGTTGGGCCAAATTGCTGAGGTCCTGTCTCAAAGAATAATGTGGAGAGAAATGAAGACGGCATTACTACTTGACATTCACACATATATGCATACATGTGTTTGTGTGCTAACACACACACACACACACACACACACACACACACACACACACACACACACACCTGTACATTAAATTAAATGAAAAGGAAGAGAAAACCAGGTTGGTTTACTTAGTGCTTCTCACCTCCTTTGGATCCTTCCTTTCAGATTTATGCTGTCATGGTTGAGTGACCTGTTTGCCTTCAGGTGTCAATGGTCTGAGTTGATCCTATTAAACTGTTTTCTCCACAGTCTGTGGAAAAATCGAGAATGTTGCTTCTGCGAAGACCCAAGGGACCCGCTGGCCATGGCAGGCAGCCATCTACCGGAGGACCAGTGGTGTGCACGATGGTGGGCTGCACAAAGGCGCGTGGTTCTTGGTCTGCAGTGGTGCCCTGGTGAACGAGCGTACCGTGGTTGTGGCTGCCCACTGTGTGACTGACCTAGGGAAGGTCACCATCCTCAAGACAGCAGACCTCAAGGTTGTCTTGGGAAAATTCTACAGGGACGATGAGCGGGATGAGAAGACCATCCAGAATTTACGGGTGAGAGAGGGCTTCCTTGGAAATTGGAGCTCTGACTTAACCAGCTATGAGCACAGGAGAACAGAGCCTGTGTCAGCTCCATCCTTCAGCACGTCAATATCCATCCCAAAGCCTAGTATGCAACAGGGGCTCAGAGGTTCATACTGACAGACTCGCGATAGAGAAAGTTAGCAAACCATGCGGCTGTCCTCCACACCTTTGCTTGTTTTGAAAACAAGGTAGAGTCAGGTATCATCTATTACTCTAGTCCTCAAAAGTCATTCCCACCACAGTAAAATACACATGTACTTTGTCTAGTAGCATGTACTATAAATTATAGTACACTGAACGTTGATGAAGCTATTTGTTTAATGGCTATCTCTGTTTCAAATGATTTGTTCCAGGGATGTTGTGACTTGTCACAGTGCCCTGACCACTCAGATCAAGATAAATTAATAGGTGTTTCTTGAATAAAAAAGAGAACTAATTATCTATCATATTTGAATTTGGGAATTATTTCAAGTAGGCTTTGAGGATGCAGGTTTTTATCCAGGATACTCCTAACTGTAATGCTTTTCACTTGTTCTGAACCCTCCTTCCATTCATCCGTCTGTCCATCTGTCCTATCCTACCCTTCTTTTCACCTGTCCATTCATTCTTCTACCCATCCTTCTGTATATGCCTCAGTTCATTCATCTATCCATCTATCCATCTATCTATCTATCTATCTATCTATCTATCTATCTATCTATCTATCTATCTATTCATTATTGAGCCCCTACAACATGTTATCCATGGAAAATAGAGAGAGAAAAATAAAACATGGCTATTTTCTCTAGTCTAATGGGAGGGACAGACCAGTATGTCATGAACAGCATTTCATAAGAGAAGCCTCTAAGGAAATAGTATCAAGTAATAGAACTATACATTTAAAAATTAAAAGATAGGAATATGAATTTTTAGAAGCTCCAGTCAAAAACATTGACTAGGAAGGCATAAAATACTTAGGAAATATCCTGTGGAAAAGTGCTATAGAGTATTCTGAGAACATCTTTATAGACAAAGACTTAGGGACCATTGTTAGGAAACATAGCTGTATCTTACTGGTTTGAAGGTACATGAAATGCTTACAGTGGGCCAGAGATTGTAAATGAATAACTTATAGGGCTTACACATGGATAGTGCTAACACGTAGAACTTACAGATGGATCGTGCTAACATGTAAGGCTTATACATGGTAGAACACTAACATATGTGTTCCTGATCAGTTGATTGAACATTAAGTGATTGAGATGTTTCAAAGGAAGACTTGGTGTCCTTCTCTGGTAAGAATAAGAATGCTTATCACATCTTTGTGCAGCAGTGATCATCTGGAACAAACATCGGCTGCCCACTTTAGATGGGACATGGACACCCACTTCTATGGCCTTGCTTGCAGACTCCACTTATGTACTATCACCTTCCAGGCCCCAGTAGGCATTTGAGTTGACAACTCCAAAAATACCACAATTATTTTTTAATTTTTAATCCTTGAGGAATGTATCTTCAATAATTGTAGCTGTCACTTAGACAGTTTCTTTCAATAATTTGACCCCCAACTGGCCTCTTCCTGTCCACACTAGAGCGGGCTGTTCACCACTGCTGTCTCTTCCTTGCTTTTGTAGATTTCTGCCATCATTCTGCATCCCAACTACGACCCTATCCTGCTGGACGCTGACATCGCCATTCTGAAGCTCCTAGACAAGGCCCGCATTAGTACCCGTGTCCAACCTATCTGCTTGGCTACCCCTCGGGACCTCAGCACCTCCTTCCAGGAGTCGCACATCACTGTGGCTGGCTGGAACATCCTGGCGGATGTGAGGAGCCCTGGTTTTAAGAATGACACACTGCATTCTGGAATGGTCAGGGTGGTAGATTCACTGCTCTGTGAAGAACAACACGAAGACCATGGCATTCCCGTTAGTGTCACTGACAACATGTTCTGTGCCAGCCAAGACCCCAGCACCCCTTCCGACATCTGTACTGCAGAGACAGGGGGCATCGCTGCTTTGTCCTTCCCAGGCCGAGCATCCCCTGAGCCCCGTTGGCATCTGGTGGGACTGGTCAGCTGGAGCTATGACAAGACATGCAGCAATGGCCTGTCCACAGCCTTCACCAAGGTGCTGCCTTTCAAAGACTGGATTGAGAGGAACATGAAATGAACCAGCTTGCAAGGCCACGGAGAAGCTTTTCCTAGCATCCATCTGTATATATGGCGTATGGCTCAGTGTGGACCTGAAGTATGATTTTTGCCCATGACCTTGGCTACAGAAAGGTTTCTGGTTTCAGGGATATACCTCAGTAGAGGGTGAGTAGTGTTTGCTTCCTGGCAGGAAACTGTCTTTCTGACTGCTTGGAAACCATCCAAAAGATGCCAGGGCTTGCAAGAACTGAATTTCCTCAAAGAAAGCCAGGTGACTAGAAAAGAAAATCTCCCAGACACTGTAAACCTCACAGTTACATGAATGTCATGGTCAGTTCTGGTTGAAAGAGTTGACCTGGGGGGGCTCTGGGCTGCACCAGGCTTTGGTCAAAGTTCCAAAGAACAGCCTGCATGGCAGTCCAAGGCAAAGGAGCTTAGATGTGGCACATGTTCCTGTGTACATTGTCTGATTATACATTGTCTGTACTGATCCTTTTCCCCTCCAATCTTCTGTACACATCTCAATAAAACAAGGGTTGGCTCCAAGATAAAAGTCCCTCTCCTGTTTTTGCATGCTGTTTTTTATAAGCTACATGGATTTGGGTCAATAATTTGGTGAGGGCGCTTTAACATAGAGCCAAGGGGTATAATTTCCCAATGGGTCCGTCAAAGACTGTTTTCTATACCAGTCATTGGAGTTTGGAGGGGCATGGGGCAGGCAAGTCAGAGAAGACAGAGAGGACAGGATGAGTGACATGCTGGTTGATCTTGACTGCATGCTCAGTTGAATGGAGAGGTGTCTAGATGAGTAACGCACAGTTCGGTGTCTGCGAGGCTGTTTCCAGGGAGGATTAGTCAAGAAGGGAAGGCGTACCCTGAATGTGGGAAGCTTCCCACATTCTGTCCTAGTAGCTGCGGGCTCAGAGAGACTAAAAGGGAGGAAGGAGAAAGCAAGCCAGTGCAGGCATTTTCTCTCTGCTTCCTGGCTGCCGTGATGCACGCTGCTCCCCTCCTCCACGCCCTTCCCGTTACGATGAAGTGACATCTCTGAGACCATGAGCAAAAGCCTCTTTCTTCTCTCCAACTATTTCTCTCAGGTCACAGTAACAGAAAAGTTAAATGTGGGGCAGCCGATTCCAAGTGTCTCCCTGATTCTATGTTCCAGACTCAGTGTAAAAGTGCCTTGAACCCCCACAAATCTTTTTTTTTTTTAAAAATTACAGTTATGTATTTAGTGTGTGTGTGTGTGTGTGTGTGTGTGTGTGTGTGTGTGTGTGTGTGTGTGTGTGTATGTGCGCGTATGGGTGTGTGTGTGTGTGTGTAAGTGTGTGTGTGTGTGTGTGTGTGTGTGTGTGTGTGTGTGTATGTGTACTGCATGCTTTCCACCATGAAAGTGTGGAGGCCAGAGGACAGATTTCAAGGTTACTGCTTTCCTCTCACCATGTGGGCCCTGGAATCAAACTCAAATCATCAGGCATGGTGGCAAGTACATACTGAGCTATGTGACCAGTCTGTACCTCCACAGGTCTGTGTTTCCAAAACAGTAGAATCAGAATCATGTGTTTGCTTACACCAGATTTGATCTGCCAAGAACCCAAGGCTTCGGGATTCCTTACAATGTATGTGAGTGTCCTTGGAAGCCCCCTTCTCACTTCTCACTAGAATGGAGGAAAAGGCAAATTCAATCCGATAAATACCTTCTATGATATTTCCAGTACATTCTCTGTTGGGGCTTGACAAACACTTCTAATATTTTCCTCTCTTTTCTCATCACAAGTTTTTTTGTGTCTTGTGAGCATTGAGACAATGGGGCAACTCATGAATTCATGCTGGGTCTTGGGTGTGTGTGATGGGTCCTTCCAATTCCTCAGTGTTTTCCTAATGTCTAGTGTAGGGTCTGTCTGGTTTCCATGTGGCTCTGTGGTCCTTCCTGCTGACCAGGCTTCTCTTCAGCTCTTGTGGGGACTGGCATTCCTAAATCTGGTATTATTATTTGACCCTGGTCTGGGTCACTCAACCTACTGGCCAGAGGCAGCTTCTCTAGAGACTGCCGAGCCACATTCCCAGTGGTACCCTCTTCTTACTTTGGAAGCTTGTGGGGAATGCTCAGTCTTTTCTGTCCCATACAAGAGAGGAGAACCCAGGCCTGTTACAGACCATCCTGGAAGACACTGGCTTCCTACCCATCCAAACAGGAACTTTATTCTCCTGCTACCTGTGTCAGAGAGCTTTAACCTTGCTGGCTTCAGCCCTAAGACAGGAGTAAAAGTATGTTTGCATTCCAGCTTTCTCCCTCACCCTTGTGCCTCCATACATTTCTCTGAGCCAGAAGAGAATTACATCTACTTTCTCTTTTCATATATTCCTGAGGTTTTCCATGAGTAATCTCCTGCCCTTCACATAACCCTTCTTCTTGTCCTCATGGCTTCATCAAGGGGCAATGGATTGATTATAAGTTACTCAACATTTGAGGATTTAAACGAAGACCCATTTATTCTCATGTAGTTTGGGTAGATTGGGAATTGGAGAGTGGTTTAATCTGAGGTAGGAGTCACCAGCAGCCTTTCTGAGGCTGGAGGATTGATTCTTCAGATAGTCATGAAGTTATTTAAAAAACAAAACAAAACTGTATTTTAAGAAAGCTAGGATCACCAAAAAGTATGGTGGGAGTTAGGTCAAAGAGATCTGAACTCAGGTCCTGTCTTCCCATTTCCTTCTGATTGGTATGACGGATAACTCAGAGAAGGACTTATTTTATTTTAGCTCATGGTGCCAGAGGGTTCAATCCATGATCATCTGGTCCTATTGCTTTGAGTTCATAGTGGTATAATACATCATGGAAGAAGCACACGGTGGGTAAAATGCCCCCTCATGATGGAAACTGGAGATATATGGAGAGAGAGAGAGAGAGAGAGAGAGAGAGAGAGAGAGAGAGAGAGAGAGAGAGAGAGAGGACACTAGAGTTCACATAGCTCCTTCACGGTGAAGCCTAGGTTATTCATCTCAGGTATGTTGTCACAGGACAGGAAAGCTGACTAAACCTATGTCGTACTATTTGGCTCCTATAATACTGGGCAGGGCTTTGAGTAGTCATCTGTGCACAGCTTCATAAAGCTTCTGCACCTGCCTCAGTGGGCATTTCACACATTGGTACTCATTTTAATGTATCTATTACCTGTCTGTTTCTATTCCTGATCTGAACCCCCATCCCCAATCAACCTAGACCATCATTTTCCACACCTTTTCTATAACCTCTTTACTGTATAGTGTCATTTACGAGGTTTAGGAAGCAAGTGAAACTTACAAGGCCTGTGAAATTTATAAGATGTGGAATGTACCCCTCCCTTTCTTCACCCCATGTTGTAAAAGCAGGAACAATTGCTGGGGAGGGGAAATCTGAGACCCACAGAGACTCCTGTAAGTTGTTCTGTGAGTTCTAAAGATCCAGCTTTCCTGAATCACCACCAATGTTGGGGTGAGCTTTCTGTTAATGCTGCTGCCCATGAGTCACTTATGTTTCTGTTAGCAGTCCCTTACCCAGGCTCCCATAAGTAGCTCCAGTCAACTTACTGGTTCACTAGGCCAGACTTGGTGGGCTAGTTTCTCTCGTTTGCTATCAGTGCCCTATCCGAGGTGAATAGACGCTAGGTCATAGCTTCCTGTGAAGTCACACAACTCCACTGCAAGGCGCTTGGTTCGTGGTTTCATGGCCACAGGCTTCTCCAGCAGTGTTTGTACTGCCCTTGTAGACTTAAGTACTCATTCACATTGTAAACTGAAGTTTCCAGAAAACACAGAAAAATATTAATTAAATATTCTACAAGGCCAAATGAGTGAAAATCACAATCATAGAGTTAAACTGTTGCAGGCCAAAGCCAATGACCTTGAGCTATTTTTAGTCCCTTCAAAAGCCATTTATTGCCCACCTCTGTGTTTGACCTGCCATCCCTGTAAGTAGCATAACCTTTAAAATGTATTTTTAGCAAACAACTATCTTCCACCAATCCAAAAGCTGTCATTAGATGGCATCTGAAACCTATAGCAGAGTTTCCCTGCTTGGCTGTGACCCACCCATTGGTGAACCCCATCAATGTATTTGGAAAATGCCTTGATTTATAACTTTTTTGCTCTGTAAGTAATAAACTATCTCATAATAGCTTCCACAAAGAAAGATGTCTTTGGGGGTAACCTTAATCCATGTACCCAGCCATCGTCACTCATACTTGACTTAAGAATAAACCATCTCTTGCCCTCTTTGAGGTACCAGCAATGTCTCTGCATCTACAACACTAAGACCCAAGTCAGGATATGAGGCTCAGCTACATGCCTGTTCCTTGGCTATATCTGACTGCTTTGGAATGCTCTCCATCCCTGGTGTAGAATTCTCCAATAGAGCTCGAAGGCTGAGAGGTTTCCTATAAGGTGGAGATTCAGCATTTCATCGATCAGAGGTTTTTCTAAGAACCAGAACTCACTCCCAAGAGTCACCTAAAATGAGGGATTGTGATGGCCATATGCGGCAGTGGGCACTGCTGGAACTGTGCATGCCAAGCCGATGCCTCTGCTCCCGGTGGTGGGTCTGAATCAACCAGGCCAGCACTCAGGAAGGAAAATGATATGACATTGGCAGAAGAGAGACACACTGGGTTTTATGCAGATGAATGAAGACCCTGCTTGTCTTCTGCTTACCTTAGCCTCTAAGGTGAGTGGCCTGATGGAGGATCCAGACCCTCTCACACGGTCCAGGATTCACAGAAGCCAGAAGGAGGTTTACAATAGGTTCTGGGAGATCCGGGCCTGGGTACTTTGCTACAGCTGCCTGCAAGGTCAACTTCAAGTGACAGGGGATGTGAACTGCTACAGTGTCCCATGGACTGTATCAACTTTCTGAGTATGAAGACAGCCATCACTTTCTGTAGCATGAATCTTAAAGAGTCTTATTAACAAAAACAAACCCAAGGCCAGTTATTGGGGTGAATGCTGGAAGATCAGAGAAGCAGAACAAGCCACAGCCACCTCACCCTACCAATTCCTCAGCTGATACTGTTTCCTTAGACTGGAAGCCTCTGAGTCCTTATCCAAATGGATCTCAGCCGAACTGTGCTAAAAGCCTAAAAGCTTAACCAAGGCTCTAATTCCTGGTCCTCACGCCTTATATACCTTTCTGTCATCACTTTCTGGGATTAAAGGCGTGAGTCGCCATGCCTGGCTGTTTCCAGTGTAGCTTTAAGCTCATAGAGATCCAGAGGATCTCTGCCTCTGGAATGCTAGGATTAAAGGTGTGTGTGTGCCACCATATTCTGGCCTCTATGTCTGTCTAGTGGCTGTTCTGTTCTCTGACCCCAGATAAGTTTATTAAAGTGCACAATATATTGGGGAACACAATACCACCACATCTTTCTTCTTTCCAAAGCTCATGTTTCTCTTAAGCCCAGGTTATCCCAGACCCACATAGGGCAAGGAACTCTGCAGCAAAGCTCTGCTTTCCTTCGGCTGACACATGTAAAGCCACGGCAAGTCATGGGGAGCCACTGGGACAAAGTGGCTCTCAGCTGA